CCTAAACTCTAAACCCTCAAACCCTAAAGCCCTAAAGCCCTAAAACTCTACACCCTCAACCCTCGACCCCAAGGCCCGATCCCCAACTAAAACCTCTGCCCACGAAGCCTTGGGCCGGTCCTCACTTGGAGGGTCGGGGGACTTAGTAAGTAGGTAGCAAGTAGACTTATAAGTACACTAAAAGGGACCCTAATTGGGGTTATGGTACTTATAAGTCCCTAAAATAACCAGTTACTAAGTCCCCCGACCCTCCAAGCAGGAGATCGAGCTGCTCTTGCGGCGCTTCTTCCATGCCAGGCCTTGCGGTTTCAGGTTTTAGAGTTTAGGGTTGAGGGTTTAGAGTTTAGGGCTGAGGGTGATTCTGACATCTTTCAATTTCGACTTCAACTTTTACTAGTAAAGGTTTTTGGCGGGTTCAGGGTTTCGGATTCGAGGTTGCTGCCATGTTACTGCCCAGTGCTACCCAGTGAGTCTGAGTTCTCATCAGTCCCTTGATCTCTTTCATGAAGCTTTACCCCGTAACCCCTGAACCCTTTGGAATCGCATACTGCGAGACGCCTCTGCAACAGAGTCGGTTCTTTATGTGGTTGCAGCCAAGCCTACTGGCCCGTGTAGGACAGCTCAAGCGCTGATTCAGCTGGAGCAGAATTTGGATCGCAACCACATGGTGACGTTCCATTCTGTCACTCACATGGACGACTGACGCGACATCGTCGACGAGATTCAATGGGGTTCAAGGATAGTTGTAAGTGGGGCTATAAGTAGGATAGCTGTAGATATACAGTTCGGAAGCTCATGAGGGGACTTATAACCTACTTATAACTACGCGTACCTTGAAATGTAAACCTCAAACCCTAAGCTCTATAGAACCCTTAAAGGAACCTTAGTAATATTGGTGGAGGTAGCCGGACTTATTGGGAAGTGCACGATCCCTCCTGCTGCTGGAGCTGCTGCTGGATCACCGCGCTACGACGGGTATGTGCCCTACACCGTATATCTGGACCCTAGACCCTACACCCGAAAACCGCCAGAGCTTTGAACTTTTCGGCCCCGCAGTCCAAGGCTTATATAAAGAAGAGGGCCAAGCCCACCCCACTCCAACCCTGCACCCGCATTGTGACAAGTTTCCACTCTGTTGCCCACATGAGGGTTTGGGGTCTACAGGGTTTGGGGTGTAGGTTGAACTGAAGAACCCAACCACTGTTGATGGACAAAGGCCTGCATTACCCATTACATTATAAGGAATATACCATAGTTCCCGTAGTTTAGAGTCCTTAGGGATTTTCTCCATCAACAGTAGTTAGTGTATGCTCGGACCATGGAAGCTTTTGGTGTCCTTACAGCCCAAAAGCCCTGGCTGTTGATCCCTAAACCCAAATGGGAATTTACGAAAATTAGGGGTACCTTATTTTGGGGGTCCTGATAATTAGATTCCTACTATATAGGGTACTATATCAGGGTCCCCTAGTTTCGGAGACTCCCAAATCCTGACACCCCTGAACCCGGACCTTGAACCGGTAGTTGGAGGTCAGGGCAGCTGGGGTGCCTCCGCTGCTTTCCGGGGTTTAGGGTTTAGGGTTAGGATTACCTGCGGAGTTGCAGATCGCTTCATAGTGGTGCTGTTTCTAGCTTAGATACTATAAGTAGGGGCCTTAGTAATTACCAAGACTATTGCTTCCTTTCTGTAAATATAGATAATGGCCCCAAAACCCTGTTCTAATTATTGAGGCCCTTGTATTAGTGCTATGAGCAATGCTCCGATAATACGATTGCCAGTCGTAGTTCTAGCCGCTTGTTACTTCTGCTGAACTGTGTTAACTACCCAGAGACTCCACCATCCCTTAATTAAGGGAACATATACCTTGAGTTACAGTAGGATCCCTAATATGATTTAAGGTACATTCCTTTATTAAGGGATATTGGTGTCTCTGGGTACTTAAAGGGTCATGGGACTGAGTGACTGGGGTTATTAGTAAGGTAACTGTACTTATAACCCCAATTAGGGTACTTATAACCTTACTTACTAAGTCCCATGATCCTCCAAGCATTCCCTACTAAGAACCCCATTTAGATCCCTTTAAAGGAACCGTATAAATTCCTTTAAAAGGATCCTCCAAGTAGTTGCTGGGGCCAGGAAGCATGGCCGCGAAGATCGGTCGGGGGCCTCAGGTCGACACTGTGTTTGGTTTTAAGGTTTTAGGGTTTTAGGGTTTAGGGTTTAGGGGTTTAGGGGTTTAGGGTTTAGGGTTTTGGGTTTTGGGGTTTCAGGTTTAGGGTTTTAGGGTTTAGGGTTTAGGGGTTTAGGGTTTCAGGTTTAGGGTTTAGGGTTTTAGGGTTTTAGGGTTTAGGGTCTTGACTGGCGCGGTACAGGTTTTGGTGTCTTGGGGGGCCTTGGGTTCTGGGTTTCTGTCATATTGCAAGAAAGAAACTTCTGTGTCCATCCTTTGTGTCTAGTTTTTAAGGGTTTAGGGTTTAGGGTTTAGGGTTTTTACTTGCGTATTGCAAACCTAAGCCCCCAAAGCCCAAACCCTAAACCTTAAACCCTGAAACCTAAAGGCTAAACCCCTGCAAACCTGAACAGTCCTAAACACGGGTTTCGAAGCTCCACACCCGAGGCCCGAGGCCAGAATCCCGGCGGCCAATCCAAACCCATAGCTGAGTGGTTCTTCGCCGTGTAATTCTCAGGCGTTTAAGGTTTAGGGTTAGGGTTCAGGGTCTAGGGTTTAGGGTTTAAGGCTTGGGATTTTCGGGTAGCTAGACTTCAGTTCGAGAATCTGGCTCAGGACGGCTCAACGTGCAACAGCAGCAGCCGCAGCAGCAGGGGCAGAGCTTAGGACCTGGGGCTTCGAGCGCCGGAACTTCGAGACTGGCTTAATGCCAAAATGTACCACCTAATGCTAGAAGCCTGACCAGAGCGCCCTAAACCAATAAGCCCCAAGCCCTAAACCCTTAAACCCTACAACCCCAAACCCCTAAATCCCTAAAGCCCTAAACCCCAAAACACCTAAACCCCTGAACCCTAAGCCCTTAAGCCCCTAAAACCTCAAACTCAAAAAATCGTTGCGCGCTCCTAAGGCTTTACTGCGTGGGAAACGTGCATTTGCATCTCGCCTGCCTTGGATGGCATGGATTTCATCGGGCTTGAGACGGTGCTTTGAAGGAGGGTTTAGGGTTTAGGGTTTACAATAAGCTGTAGGGTTTAGAGTTTACGGTAGGGTTTATGGTTAAGGGCTGATTTAAGTTATGTTGGGACTCAGATTGGAGTTTGTCTGGGGATTCGAAGGTGGAATTTTCGATTTGGGGCTCCGAGCGCCTGTAGTCGAAGAGCCGCGCAGCCTGCTGGTATAGGTGGTGTAGGGTCTGGGGTTTAGGGGTTTAGGGGTTTAGGGGACTGCTGATTATCATGAATCTAATCTACCTTCTCGTTTCCGCGCCTGAGGATTCAATAGATGGAGGCCGTTCGAACGCCTCATTTGAGGAGAGGTCATCAATTATACAGCTACGGGTCCTGACCAAAACGGCGGACCCTAATTTTGACAACCACCCACCTTAAGACTCGAAAACCTCAGACTCTTGAGCCCAACGCCCCTACCACACGAGTCACACCCAGAGCCTCCAAAACCCCTTAATTAAGGAATATACCTTCAAGTACAATAGGATCCCTAATATGCTTTAAGGTATATTCCTTACTTAAGGGTTTTGGAGGCTTTGGGCCACGCACACCCAGAAATCCTGAAAGGATGGAGGTAGTGTTGACAGAGGTTGCTTACAATGCTACGGCTGATGATATAAATCCTGCATTACATTAAGGACTCTAAACTATGGGAATTATGGTATATTCCATGTTATGGATCATGCAGGATTTAAATCATCAACCGTAGTTCTGGTTGCGCAGTACAGTTAGTTAGTGCATACATCGCTCATACAGCTTGTGACCGCCAGAAAATGAGGTTTGGCACGGTATTGGCCATAGTTAGTGCCAACTACAAGATGCGTGATAGTTGCGATTGTGGTAGTTGCAGCAGCAGCAGCTCAGCAGCGGCAGCGGAGTAGCGACATGCAAGTCGTCAGCATCAGCACACTGCTTGTCTAAGCTAGCCCCGATCCTAAACCAAGCAAGAGATCCAGGCTGCCCTACGTGACACAATGCGGGACAGTGGAAGCGTTGAGGACAGCGAAGTATATAAGGGGTGTTGCCCGCTCGTGGGGTCCTGCAGCTGTGCTTCGTCAGCCTGGAAAGCAAGATCCTAGGGCCTCCGAGACACCCTGCCCAGCCCAAACCCTAAACCCTAAACCCTAAACCCTAAACCCTAAACCCTAAACCCTAAACCCTAAACCCAAACCCCTGCAGCGGTTCAGGTTTTGGAGTTGAGGGACCAGGATGGCGGATTTAAGAGTTTGGGGCCAGGCTTTAGGGTTTGCGATAGGAGGCCTCAGGCTCGGCTCCTACATGGGATGTACCTAAGGACCTAAGGTTTGGGTCTTGGAGCAAGCTTACTTAGAGGATCATGGGACTTAGTAAGTAGGTTATAACTGGGGTTATAAGTCCCCTAAGTGGGGTTATCCTAATTATAACCTACTTATAACCTTACTTACTAAGTCCCATGATCCTTTAAGTGAAGCATTGCGAGGGTTTCCATGGGGTTTAGGAGGGCTCCGTCTTGGGTACTACTTGGAGGGTCGGGGGACTTAGTAACTGTTAAGGGGTTCCTTTAAAGGGATCTATAGGGATTCTATAAGGGTATAGGGTTTAGGGTTTAGGGTACTTGGAGGGTCGGGGACTTAGTAACTGGTTATTTTGGGGACTTATAAGGGTATCATAACCCCAATTAGGTTCCCTTTTAGGGTCTTATAAGTCTACTTACTACCTACTTACTAAGTTCCCCGACCCTCCAAGTAGGTGGGAGTTGCCGAAGGTTTGGCGATTTGCAAGACCGCTTTTCATCAGCATGTGCGTTTGGTAGCATCCCAACTCCCCGAATCCCCCTCATTCAAGAGCCATGACCCGTGTGTCAATCGATTTGCTTCGTGCACGTGTGTGTCTACGCTAAGGTTAGGGACCCAAAAGGACAGAAGCATAAGCATTTTATAGGGCCTGGTGGGTTTCTTATAAGGGGGGTTATATGGGATATCCCTATCCTTTGTTTTGCTTATGTGTTTTTTTGGGGCCCTACAAAAGGTTCGTTGCTCGCAGGTTGAAGTGCCGAATTTTGACAGCAGGAATGTAGGCTCTCTCACGCCAACGTACACAACGAAGCTACGAATCAGAGATTAGGGCCCAGGGTTTAGCTACTGCACACAACGAAGATTTCACAAAGGCAGTCGTCTAGAAAGGTCAATACTTCTGGAGTATACCGGCTTTAAGTTACTCTAAGGTATAGGGGGCTGTATATTCGGCTGTAAGACTTCTCTTCTCCCCCACTTAGAGCGTACCTCCCGGAGCCCGATACTCTAAGGTATGTTTAATGTTGAGTCCTTCCAGTTTGGGATGGTGTTTGGGGGTTTGGGGTTTAGGAACCTTGCTCGTCTGGTCAGGAAGATGGAGGAGCAGTTCGGCTTTGAGAATGCCAGTGCTTTGGTCTCTTGGGCAGCAAGGTTTGAGCATCTTTCTGCTTCGCTTCTTCATTCATTTAACCCGTAACCCTAAACCCTGAACCCAAAAAAGCAAAACAGCCTGAACCCTAAACCTTAAACCTCGTTTGCCTCTTTTTGTCTGTCGAATCCGCATCTCATCATGCAGGCGTAGTCTTCGGGTTAGTCGGGATGACTCGACCTCCCGAGGGCTCTTGGCGTGTAGAGATTTACGTTTAGCTGGGGTTTAGGGTTTAGCGTTAAGGGTCGAAGGCCGAGGGTTTTGCGTCATCAGCCTCTCGGTCCTCCAGGCAGCAGGATTCTAAAACCCTGAACCCCGTGACCAAGGCTCCTGTAAGCTTAAGGCCAACTCCCCCCTGTTTTTGGGCTTCTAAAATTCTAGGGTTCAAGGTTTAGTGCTTTTGGGGCTTAGGGTTTAGGGATGAGGGCGTAGTGCATTTCAGAATCAGACTCCATGTGTTCAATCTTCGACTTCGACGGATGTGCTAAGCGGCTCCCACATCCGTCCGCAGCTTGTAACACTGCTTCTACTTTCAGGTTCATGGGTAGTTATAAGTCGGGTTACAAGCCCGCTATTTAATATGGTTTAACACTATAGTTATCCTGCTTACAGCCCCGCTCATTTCTAGCCCTCGGTGATGGCGAAGGTGATGTGCACATGGACGGCCAAATTTTGAATGATGCTCCGCATTGGCAGTTTTTGCAGTCAGCCTGACGGCGATTTACAGTCATCATGGCCATAAACGTAATCGGCTTGATTCCAAACTGTGGTCTTTGTGAACGGACAAAGCAGACCTTTCGGGTTGTAGATCTGAGCGCTGCGTAAGCTTTGACTTTGGCGCCTGTGTCAAGCACGTGGAGTCATCTGGACGGTCATGAAACAGGAGACCGACCTCAGGAAGGAGCAACTGAGCTACCTCCTCAAGAGAGAGGAATAGATAGTGAAGCAGAATCGGCATCGACCTGCAGGACATTGGGCAGTCTAGAAGACGGGAGGTGAAGGCCTCAGAGCATGTGAACCCAGATCGTTTCCGCTCCACTGTGTGTTGGACTTCTGCAAATTGGCCTCCGTGGACGACGACATGAGAGCTTTGGCCGAGAAGCACCGGCAGATCCACCCCAACAACGTCCGTTTAGGGGTTCCCAGCCGAGTGCATATCTAGAGCTGAATGCGACAAGAGCCTGCCAAACATGTTGAACGGGGCGGGGTCCTGAATCTGTGGGTGTGTGAGGATGTGTGAGGTGAAGATGAAGAAGAGGAGCATGATTGTCATCACGAGTAGTTTCATGATGATAGGTTCAGGTTCTAGGCTTTTGAGCTTCGAGTTCATTTGGAATTTGAGATTGGCTGAATAGTAGGGTGTAGGGTTGAGGGCCATTCCCTGCATAGACGTACTATAACTATACTACACCCCAAAACCCTAAACCCCAAATCCTAAATCCGCAAAACCCCCATTCCTCAGCTTCGTAAGGCTGCTGTATGAGGGTGACTGTCTCGGCTGAGGTCTTCGCCAGCGGCATGCCGAATCAGATGCTCATGAATGCCCTGAACAGGCGGGTTAAGGGTTTTATCGTTTCAGGGTTTGGTGTTTAGGGCCATGAACTGGTGGGCAGCTCTAATCTCTAAGTAAGGTCCTTTTTTAGGGTCCTTCTCATAAGGGTGCCGTCCTCTTTTGGCTTCCTGGTCCCTGAACCCTAAACCGCAAGCCCTAAACCTGAATCTGCTTAAAGGATCATGGGACTTAGTAACTAGGGTTATTATTAGGGTAACTATGCTTATAACCCCAATTAGGGTATTTATAACCTTACTTACTAAGTCCCATGATCCTCCTTGCAGAACTCTGATAGAAACCTTAAAAATCCCTTATAGATCCCTTTAAGGAACCCTATAAAGAGCCTACTTACTAAGTCCCATGATCCTCCAAGTAGAGAACTCCTCAGGGCCCCAGGGTCGGACGGGGTTCGAGTTGGAGGCTTTGCTGCCGGGGCTTCTGTGGGTTTCTAGGGTTTAGGGTTTAGGGTTGGGGGCTTAGGGGTTTAGGGTTTAGGGCTCTTTTGGGGTTTGAGTGCTTTCGGACTTTAGGGCTTCGGGGTTATAAGTGTCAGCTTTCGGAGTTAAGGGGTTTTAGGGCTTGGGCTTTAGGGTTTAGGGTTTAGGGTTTAGGGTTTAGGGTTAAGGGGTTTTAGGGCTTGGGCTTTAGGGTTTCGGGGGAGTATTGCGATTAAGGATTCCATGGCATGGCGTTTGCAGCTGGTATACTTACCTTTGGTTAGTAGGGAACGGAGGAATGGGGTACAATTATAACTACTACGACTACCATTGGGTAGTATATTCGAGTCCCTAACCAAAAAAAAGGACACACCCAAAAAGGAACTACTTTGGGGCCCCTGGGTATATCCCCTGTAGATCCCTGATAGAATCCTTCTCGAGCCGACTCCGAGTCTGTTTGAAGCTTCTTGGGCGAAAGACTGGACCTCACATGGCCTCACCCAGAGAGCCCAATACCCCTTAATTAAGCAATATACCTTAAATTATAAGGGGCTGGAAATATTATGATTTAAGCTATATTCCTGAATTAAGGGGTATTGGGCTCTCTGGGCACACCTTTAAAGGCGCAGAACGCAATCCCCTGAATACATGTATTCCTTCGAAACCCCTGTACTACTCTGTGCCAGTATACTAGAATACAAACCCAAGCCCTAAACCCTAAACACCACTCCAATCATTCAATCCCCTTTCGGGGTTGAAGATGTCCTCCGAAACAAGCCTGTGCCGTCTTGTCATAGCGTAAAAAGGGTTTAGGGTTTAGGCTTCAGGGTTCAGGGTTCAGTGTTCAGTGTTTTGCGTTTAGGCAAGCCAGCAGAAGACGACCTTCCGTAGCATGGTCTTTGAAGGACTACAAGTCCTCACAGTCTTTGGTTGCTTTTCGGGGTGCCGGCTCCGACTTGACAGGCATAACCTCGCTGTCAGCATCCTGCAACAAGACCTGCTCAAGAATGCGGTTTCCATGGTAGGCGCGTGCTTCTTTCAGACCTCATCCGTTCCCTTATAAGCTTGGGAACCCGCACGGGCTGTTGAAAAATCGACACCCTGATTTTGAAGGCCCTTGTCATGAAACCCTATACTCTAAACCCTGAACGCGAACATCAAGCCTAGAGCCTAAGTTGTAGTCGCAGTTGCAGGTGTCTGCCCTCTTGGGGCTTTCGGCTTCGGATATGAGGGCTTTAAGCCCCCGAGCCGTCAACCTTAAATGCCCAAGACCAGACCCCATGTCCCGAAGCCCCACAACCCTGCACCCTAAAACCTAAAGCCTAAACCCTAAACCCTAAAGCCTAAAACCCTAAACCCTAAATCGTGCAGCCTTGACCCCAGATCCCCACACCCCAAAGCCAGCCTAATTATTTGGATTTAGGTCGTTGAGCCGTTTACGATACGGCTTAGGGTTCAGGGTACAAAGTTTCGGATTTAGGACTTTAGGTTTAGTGTCCTGGTAATGGTAATACCCGGACCAAGCATCCTTCATGCACGTTCCAACGGTTGGGCGCCACATAGAAGACCTAATCAAATAGCAGTATCGGTTGTGAGGGCTCCCTTTTAAAAGTGTACTGTAGCAAATGCCAAACCCCTATTCAAAGAATTCAGACCCCTGAACTATAGCACCCGATTTTGGATCCCTTACGAAGACTCAGGAAGGAACCTTTTCAATGGAACCTTACTCCTATTAGTCCGGCTCCGAAAGTACCCTAAGGCCCTAAAGAAGTTCCTTTTTGGGGTTCATATTTAGAATCCTATTAGGTAATCCCAAAAAGGAACTACTTTGGGGCCTCTGGGTAACTGTATGTCGCGTCGGGGCCTGCCTTGTCAGCTTTCGGTACTCCGCCCCTTCAGATTAAATTTGTCTAAGGCCATGCTTCCTTCAGGGTTTAAGCCCTCCGCCCTAAACCCTGAACACACGCCAGAGATTCTGGAACATCCTGGACCCTACATCTAGGGCACTGATTCCGAAGCCTTCTATTCCGCAGCGCATGCCCTTAAGCCTGTATTGGGGGTTCCTTGCTCTACTCATAGTATAATGGGTCCCAACACCCTATTCTAATTGTTCAGGCCCTATATTATTGCCCTGAGCCCTCAAACCCAGCAGCCCTTTATATCTCAATGTCACAACCTTCCCTACAGCCCAAGCCCCAACCCAACAGGCTTGAATCCAACTCCCAGAAAACCTGCAGAATGAACCCTAACCCCTAAAGTTTCAAAATTTAGAAGCAGAAAACCCTAACACCCTTGCCGCTTTCGGACAGGTAAGAACTACCACGGAAGGCAGATCGAGGCGCGCGCCGTCTTGAGGGCTTCAGGGGCCTCGTGGAGGTTTTTGCGGCTGAGGGCTTGCCTTCACCCTGAATAACCTACTTTTTTTGGGGGTTCTTTATTATGAAATCTTTATATAAGTCCTTAAAGATGTAGGTTTCTCGGGGTTAATGTGGGCTGTGATCACCAGCATAAGGTTGACGGCGACGTGTTCTGGGCTGTAAACGAGTTTAGTGTATTGTGGCCGGGTGTCACACTTGCAGTATCCATTCTGAACCGGAGTCGCTGAGAATCACAGCAACAGAATCGCTCACCCACTGACATTACGTATGTTCCGATGAAGGATAGCGCTCCGAGAACATTGATTGTGCCTCGCAGGTACTAAATGGATGCTCTTGGACGAGTGTGAGCATTCCGTGGCCATTTTTGGCATCAAGCTAGCTGCGACAAGCAGCTCAGTTCTTTCTTCAACACTCCGGGGGGGCCGAGATGAGCGATGAGCGATCACGGATGGCGAAAGAAAGCCGCTCCACCACCTCCGCATTCTGAAGAAAGCGGAGAGCCTGATCAGAAAAGGGCCAAGAACACTGACGGTGCCAAAACTGATTGGGCGCTTTCTCAGTCATCAGGTACAACAGCCGTGGGTGCGTGGGCAGCTCGGCTGGAAGCGGCGTGTCTGCTCGAAGCTAGATGCTCCCCAGAAGCATACATAAGCTTAGTGCGCGAAGGAGTTGAGCGCGGGGAAACTTCCGTTCTTGACTTTGCTTCCCTCTTAGATAGTGAGGGCAATATCTTGGATGGCAACCCATTCAAGTTGACAAGCGACTTGCTTGATCAAGAGACGGCGGAGAGTGATCTGCCGCAAGTCCCGATCCCACTTTGGGAGGAGGACGCGAGAAAGGATGACGAGGTCGCCAAGCAACGTGCGATACTCGAGAGCCTGGCTCAGAACAATGATAGTGTTCCGCCTTGGGCAATCAGTCGGGTTGCTGATGATTCGAGTCCCAGCAGCAATCTCCCTGAGTGGATTGTCGGTGGACCTTTCGGGGGAGAGAGTGGCTTTCACAAGAAAGCTGCGCCTCCTCCGAAGGAGATCCTGCAGCCAACAAGCTTCCAGGGAGACACACTGGCTGGGACGCCGAATGCCGGTGACCCGGAAACTTGTTTCGCCAAGAAAGCCTCGCCACCCGAGTCACCTCAGCAGGTTGAAACGCGCTTGAGTGCCGCACCCAGGCTGGGGTCGGTTTCCTTGGCTGCGTTTAGTGCACCTTCTATGAGGGCACGGGAAGAAATTGGGCTCCAGGTATTCGTCGATGCCGCCATCGAATGCTACAAGTTTGCATTCGACAGCGGCATTGATATGGATTTGATCAATATTGCGGGGCCTCCTGACAATGTCGATCGCCGTAAATTCCAACTGCACACCGCTCCAAACAAGGCTTCCACCGGAATCCGGTACGCGAGACTGTTCAAGCAACTGCAAAGTTTCTGCGCATCCGAGCCGCGCTCGGTGTCAGAAGATGCAGGGGTAATGGACAAGCTTGGCGTTCTGGACTTCGTTGAGTTGCTAGTGCAACGTGGGTCCGGAAAGAAGACTCCTCAAAGCCTGTTGTACGCGTTCGACTACTTTTCGAAAGTTTTCGGTTTCGAGTTGGAGAAGCGGCCGTGGGAGAGAGCCAAGCGGCTCGCCCTTCGGTATGCTCAGGCCGACTCTGATCTACCGAACAGAGCCCCCATGTTCCGTAGGAAGACACTCTTCGTCCTTGAGCAGATCTGCCTAGATCCTTGCTTAGCCGACCCTTGGAGAGTCGCAGCCGGCAAGCTTCGACTTTGTGCGCAAGCATCGATCAGACACGACGATTTGCTCAACACGCCCCTGAAGAACTGCGAGTGGATCCGCAGATCGGTGAGCCGGGCATCGTGGGTCTGAGATCGAAGGCTGCACGAGGGAAGTCGGGGCCGCGCCTTTGGGTTGCCTCCATCAAGGGCGTCTGCAAGAGCGGGGACAACTGGCTGAATGAGCTCATGGTGCTAGTACTGAAGTCACATGGAAATAATTTTGGTAGCCACGATCACTTCGGCAGATTGCCCACTCACGACAATCTGGCGTTCGTCGCCGCGCCTGCGAGTCTGTCGGCAGATGTGAGGTGCGTGAAGGAGGCTCTGCTGAGCAGAATTCGCGAAGGCATCGACGTAGGAATGTCAGAGAAGGAGGTCAATCTGCTTCGCTGGCATGGCGCCAAGGCGACCATGACAAGCTACATGCAGCATCTAGGCATTTCTCCGCGTGCAGTGCGCTTCTCCGGCAACTGGAGACAACGCGAGGATAGCATGCCCGATTCCTACCTCCGGGAGGCTCAGACACTAGTCCTGGCAGCGCAGGAGAGGTGTCTCGCTTTCCTGAGGGGGGGTAGCGACATCTCTTTTATCCAAGGGGTGCCGGTGGGAGATGTCCCCGCTGAGAGTGTGGGAACATCGCAAAACACGGCCCTTCCGAGCCCTAGCGAGCTAGATGCCATGGTCGCTGCTGACGACTCTCCCGTTGCTGCCGACGCAATGTGCATGCAGTTCCTGGACGAGCTCGTAGAACTTGGTCTCCCGAACGTTGAAGCCATAGACGCGGAGAAAAGCCGGGAGTTAGTCCAGCAGAATGTGGAGAGCCTCATCGTGGAGGGTGTCGAAAGCGAAGTAAAAGAGGAAGCAGACGCTCCTGTGCAAGAAGACATCCAGTCGTCTGAGCTCCCCCTGCAGCTGGACATTTTCGACTCGGAAGGCCTGGTCTGTTACTTCGTGCAGCTTTCCAAGCCAGGAAGCTCTGCGAAGCTCCACCTGGCAGACGCAGAGCAGGACGGGAAGCCTGGTCCTGCAACGGCAGTACCCAGGTGCAAGGCCACTGGAAGCAGCTTCTCCTTTGTGAACGCGACGGAGGCCTTGGACGAGCAAACTGAGCTGTGCCGGGTTGTGTACCAGGCTTTGCTCCTACGTCGAGCTGGGTGGGGAGCCCAAAGTCCTCCACCGATGCTCGCGCAGATGCTCAGAATGCGGCGAGCATCATGCGCACCTGTGTCACATTCATTCGAAAGTCAGCCTTGAGTCGTGACTTGCTTTGAAACAAAACCAAAAGAGCGAGCAGCTAAGCCCGAGTCGGACTTGGCGAGCAGTTGCGCGGTCTTGAGGGTTCCTTCCATTTGCAAGCCGTGTTCCGTTTGTGAGACCGTTGTCCCCTTGTCGACAGCACGTGAGACTGCACTCAACGTCCGCAGTCTCTTGGTCCTCACAGCGAGTCTTTGAGCCCAAGACCCTAGCGGCATGACCTCTCAAGGAGGTTTGCCTGTTGCCTTCGTCAAAGCGGCTGTGCGTTTCAATGTGTCGGAGTCGGACTTCCTTCTTCTTGGTACACATGGCATAGCGACGTTTGAGGCGTTGGCTTACCGTCTCATCAAAGCTGATGATATGGAAGTGTTTATGCGCGAAGAGATCGCGCCGAAGGCTGCATACAAGCAGCCTGACGGCATAGTTGTCACTTTCGATCGGGCCCCCGCTGTCCAGTGGACGACATTCAAAATGTCTGGATGTCCCAGCTTCTTTGTCCACAAAGGAGCTTCTTGCGACAGCGTCCAGGCGTCGACACGCAACCCTTGAGAAGGTAGAGCGGGTCGGACGGAAGAGCTCTAGAGAGACAGCGAGGGCAGTGTGGGACAAGACAATCAAAGAGGTTAGCCAAGGCTCAATGAGAGGCCCATTAACTTTTGAAGAAGTAGTTTCCAAGCATGGTCCTTTCTTTAATATCGTCCCAAGCTTCGGCTTGGAGCAAGGGGTCGACGAGAGCGGGAACCCGAAGTTCAGGAGGATCGATGATCACACGGCCTCTCTGAATAACCTTGCAGCACACAGAAAGCAGAAGATAGAAATGGCTATGATCGACTACCTTATGGTCATGGTCAAATGCCTATCGTCTCGCTTTGGCTGCAAGGTTCATGTAGGCACTGAAGACATGAAGGGCGCCTATCGTCAGATCCCTCTTTCAGATTCGCAGGTCAGCATTTCCATTACAGCTGTGTACAATCCAGATACCGATACGGCAGAGCTGTTCGAAATATTCGGACAGCCTTTCGGTGCAGGCCATGCAGTACCGAATTTTTATCGTGTGGCAGAGTGGATCAGCAGGCTCATTACACGCATGTTTCATGTATTGTTGGATCATTTTTTCGACGATTTCATTTTAATGTCACGAGAGAGAGATTCCAGCACATCGATCTTTTGCTTGCAGGAAACATTCAGGCTCCTAGGCTTCGTCTTGGATAAGGACAAGTCTCAGTTACCGCGAGAAGTCGCAGAGGTACTGGGTGTTGCGTTGAACACGCAAGCTATCACCTCTGAGAGGCGACTGCTGGTTCAACCGAAGCATACTAGGAAGCTGAATTTGGGCTTGCTCGTTGATCGAGTACTGGCAAGCAACTACCTTCCGCCAAGTCTTGCTGCTAGCTTGGTAGGCAAATTCGGTTTTCTCTGCAGTACCATGTTCGGCAAAGTTGGCAGGTGTTGCGCCACGTGTGTACGTGCCAGACAGTACTCGTCTTCACAAGACTGCTCATTAGACTCTGACCTGAGGACAAGTCTTATGTTGATGAAGCTGTTCATGCAGATATCGCCTCCCAGATCCTTAATGCTAGATTCGGACCCTCACCCAGTTCTTCTGTACACAGACGCGTCAGATGTGCCAGAAAGACGGGAGGGCCGTTGGGCTGTAGGCGCTGTCATCGCCTTCTTCGATGAAGGATGGAAACTCGAGTACACCGCCTGGGAAGTCCCTGAATCACTAGTTAGCATGTGGATCCCAAAGCAGACCTACATGGGTCAGTTGGAGATCCTTGCCGCTCCGCTGGCATTGGCAACCTGGTCACAACGGCTTCAGAGCTGTAGAGTGATACACTTCGTAGACAATGATGCCGCAGCGAGCTGTCTAGTGAAGGGCTACAGTCCGAAAGTGGATTCCTCGGCACTGGTCGGAGAGTACTGGCTCCGCGCCTGTCGGAGCCTCGTAGAAGTATATATTGACCGAGTTGAATCGAAATCAAACATCGCTGATGGTCCCAGTCGATTTGAATTTTCTGAGGTTGAATCTTTGGGTGCCCGGTTTGTACATCCAAAACATGAGTCAATCGGAGAACCCATCCATCCTCTGTCTGCATGGTTTTCGAAGGGTTGAGCTTTGCAATCCCTTGATGCTCGAGAGGACACCGTTCAGCATCATGGCAAGGGAAAGGGAACCACCCTGTAAAGCATTGGGATCTGGGCTACCCTTTCCGCCTGAGATGAGTGACCATCGTGAGTTCGTGCTGCCCGGACTTCGCTCCATCCGCGGAGTGTGCAAATCCACGAAAGGTGTTGCGAGGGATCAGTGATGCTCTAAACCCACAGGACGAAAAAGAACTGAGCGCAACTAGAAGCATGCTGGCCACTTGCGCGACGTCTTTTGAGCATCAGGCATGCGAGCAAGTCAGGGGTATCCATTGATTGTGCCTCGCAGGTACTAAATGGATGCTCTTGGACGAGTGTGAGCATTCCGTGGCCATTTTTGGCATCAAGCTAGCTGCGACAAGCAGCTCAGTTCTTTCTCCCGCCCTCCCATCCCTGGTGAAAGATTGGGGGATCTGGGCTACCCTTTCCGCCTGAGATGAGTGACCATCGTGAGTTCGTGCTGCCCGGACTTCGCTCCATCCGCGGAGTGTGCAAATCCACGAAAGGTGTTGCGAGGGATCAGTGATGCTCTAAACCCACAGGACGAAAAAGAACTGAGCGCAACTAGAAGCATGCTGGCCACTTGCGCGACGTCTTTTGAGCATCAGGCATGCGAGCAAGTGAGAAATAACTTTGATTTGAATGAGCGCAGTTCTGTTCATGCAGCACTCATCATATCCCCCATGTCTGACGGCCTGCAAGTCTGCCTGCAACTTGCGCGAGGCACCACCATGATTACAATCCGTGGCCAAGGTAGCACACCAATCCTGCAGGAGCGCACGAAATTCGCGCAATGCTCTCTATCGCCATAAGAAGTAGTAAGAGTACTGGTAGTAGTGGTGGTCAACTCCGACCACACCCTCTCCATTGCCCGGTGGCGGTGATAGTTGGCTTCGCAGTCCCATTAGTAGTGGTCGTAGTAGCAGCAGCAGGAGGAGTAGTAGTCGTCGTCTTGTTGTTACTAGTAGTTATGATTACTGTATTCATGACAATTGGTATGTACTATCTGTTTAGTTTCATTCTTATGGTTATTGCTATTAGTATCGATAGTATTACGTAGTACTTTCACTTCATTTTCGAGACTGTTATTACATGTATTATTGCCACTATCATCATCATTGGACTATCAACAGTAGCGGCTTTGGAGATTGCTAGTACCCAAACAGCCGTAGACATCAAGTCGACAACCTCAAATTTGAACATGTTAATTCGGAAGTCGAAGGATTTCCACATGTTTCGGGGGCTGAGCTAGTGAGTGCTGAGGTCGTGTAGGAGTAGGATAAGTTCTGTCGAGTCCCGGATTGGTTCATTTCGGATTCCCCAAAGCTACAGCTTGTGACGGGGAGCTCAACAGGCACCCAAACTTGGGGATTTATGCATCTGAAACCCCTAAACCCCTAAACTCCTAAGCCCTAAACCTCTAAGCCCTAAACCCGGGATTACTTGCTCCCAGGCTGTTGCGGCCCACATGAACGGCGTTGGGAAAACGCAGCCCGGACAGAAGCGACCCCTAAATCCCACACCCGCTACCTGGACCTTGACGAACCTTCCTTTTCAGGGTTCTTCATTATGATTCACTTTAAACCCGAAGCCCGTATCTAAACGCTCCCTTTCCTTACGCAAGTCCAGAAGACGGTAGGTTATTCAGTAATTCAGCGTCCAGGTAAACCCTAAATCAAAGACCTCTAAGCCTAAGCCCGAAATCTTAGACCCTAAAGCCGAAACCATGAACCCCTAAATCCGACACCCCTAAACTCATTTTGCCATGGCTTTCTGGGGGTTCTTGGGATTGCCCGAATCCCTCGACCTGACTCCGTACCGGGCTTTGGCGTCTTTTGGCTTAGGTTGCTTGGTTGTTTGGTTTGGAGTTCAGGGCTCAGGGCTTTTAGGCTCAGCACACGAAGGGTTTTGGGGTTTAGGGTTTAGGGTCTTAGGACTCACTCTAAAATCGAAGACGAGCGACACGTTTGTTTTTGAGATGGCGCCTAACGAGGACTCCGACCAATCTGTTGTGCTGATTTTTCCTGCGTGCGGAAACATAGACAACGAGCCCGTCATGGCGCACCATGGCAAGGCCCTTGTTGACAACGTTGCCGGTTCGATTGTGGCTATACGGGATTCCAAGTTGGGCCTGATATCTGCGCCCGAGCGCAGGCTGTAAGTGGCTGGCACAAAGCCAAACAGAAGCGAGATAGTACTCAACTTCTACGCATTGGGCATTGTCTCGGGGGACACAGGGCCTGTGCTGTCTGACAAAGAATGGGGGGCCTATGCTCTTTTCCTCCAAGACGACAAGGCAATGGACATGCGTCTTCTACGGGACCCCCAGGCCTGGCGCTACGGGAGTGAAAAGCGAGGTGTCTCACGTCTTTGAAGAGGCACTTGCAACATATTATTGGTTCAGGGTTTAGGGATGTTTAGGGTTTAGGGGTGAGAGTGCTAGAAGTGAAGGCTTGATTGGACTGCAGCAGCAGTCTCGGGGCCGGCAGACAGCGAGTTCAACGGTTGATGATATAAATCCCTAGTGTGCCTTTAAAGGGATCTATAGGGGTACCTTTTAGAGGGTTCCTTTAAGGGATCTATAGGGTTTTTGCGGTTGTGGGTTTAGGGTGATGATATAAATCCTGCATTACCTCAAGGATCCTAAGCTATGGGAATTATGGTATATTCCTTATTATGGGTCATGCAGGATTTATATCATCAACCGAAGGACCCTAAACCCTAAACCTAGGGCCCCAAAAAAGCCACATAAGCAAACATTAGGATAGGGATATCCCATCTAAACCCCCTTAGCATGACGCCCAATAAGCTAGGGATATCCCCATACAATGCGTATGCTTATGTGCTTTTCGGGCCCTAAAAACCCGACGCCACATCTCGAAGGCCTGGTTGCTAAAATCCTCAATTTCCCAGCCTTGAATTCCAAACCCCGAATCCCAGACCCTAAGCCTCTCACTGGGATCACCATCATGTTTTGAGCAAGTAGCTTTGATTTAGGTGCCTAGGACCCTTTGGGAGGCCTGAGCCTTAAACATGCATGTGGATCCTCTGGCTTCGACAGATCTCTTGTGTGGATTTTAAGGGTGTTGAAGCGTAAAAAAAGGGTCTTGGCGACAGGGGGGTGTTAGGGTGTATGGTCAAGGCGCAATCATCGTCAGGACAACGGTATAATCCAGCTTCAGCAGGAGGCCCGAGATAAGAAGACCTTGCTTATATACTCCGCTCCGTCACACTAAGGGCCCGAGCTGGCAGCAAAAGCAACAACGAGCTGGGAGCTAATAGCCATAGTCTAATAGTAGGGCTACAGAGCTTTCACAGCTCATGTCTGAACCGTTTTGGTGGTTAAGTTTATGATGGCAGGCTTGTGCACAGTGTCTGAAATCAAGCATGTGAACTTGAACTGAAGATGCTGAGAACGCTGCCCGAGCCCGAAACCCAACAAACCGTAACTGCGGAATCCATGGAAAGGTTCGATTAGGCTCCGGGATGCAACCCCGGGATGTAGCCGTTGAGTCCAAACATTTGGGTCCAGGACATTGGGTACGATTGCCGTCGAGTTTCAATTCTCGGGTTGAGGTCGAGAGTTTCTGAACCTCCAGTAGCAGCCAGAAAGTCTGACGAAGGAACAAAATGCTGGAATAAGCAAAGGTTCACGTCTGATACTTCAAGCCTAAACCCTAAACTCTAAACCCTAAAAGCATGCAATGCACTACTGCGTGTCAGCCTCCAGATGGGTGGTTGTCAAAATTCGGGTCCCTTTTTGGGTCCTTATTATAGTACGATAATTTTGACAACCGCCCAGATGCCTGTGGGATCATCCTGCCATGTCCTTTGCAACTGCGAGTCGAAGGTCTGATGAGGACTCTGATGGGGCAGACACAAACCACCTGTACAAATTGGAGAACTTGTTGCAAGCGGGTGAATATCTTCGGGACGACGATCTATGGCCGGCTTACATGCGCTGCATCGCGGTTTCCTTGGTACAGTTCGCGTGCGCACCCGTGGTTTTTGTGTGTGTGTGTGCTTGCAGTGGTCGCGTCACTGCCGCTGGCATGACTATAGGTTTCATGCTGATTGGCTCCACGGCCTTCCAGTATTCGCTGGCGGACACGCTGGTTTCGTGGCTACAGCGGCAGCCATGTAGGGCTTCATGGCAGCACTCCATCGATGCTCTTGCCGACTTTGGGAGTACCTGCAGTATGTGTTGCTTCCTGTCACATGTATCTGCCACCATGTTTGGCATGATCGAAGCTATAGATCCTGCTCTGGATGCTTGGGCGGCCGCGAATGCATTCAACCTGTACACAGATGATCTCCGTCTCAAGTTTGAGTCAACTTGGAATCACATTCCGTTGCTAGGTTGGCTGGTTGCTTACTTGGGATTGCCTGGTGTTCTGCTGTCCATACTTCTTTTCTCCATGCTGTGTCAGCTCTGGTCTCTATACGAGCAGGATCAGCATGTCACCACGTACAAGCTGTTCGACAAATTCATGGAAGGTGCAGAGACGGGCATCGAGCACAGATACAAGCTGTGGTATGAGTGGAAACATGTTAGCGACCTCGGTGGCCTGCTAGTCCTACTCAGAGTCTTTGAGAAGTTGGTCTATGCGGAGCTGGAGCTGGACACAAACGGAGCTTTGTATCCTTTGGTTGATCGGTTTTGGTCCTTTGTTCCTAAGGTACTTGCAGAAGCTCTTCCGAGTCTTTGGTTCCAAGTTTCCGTCATCGCTCTGACGTACGAGTCATCTTCACGCAGTGTACTCGCTATAAATGTGGTGTCAGTGGCCAGCAGCGTGTTTGTTGTGGGAAGGTCGCTGCACCTGCAGTTGCAGACCTTGGTCAAGTCGTGGCAAACCAGGACATGTTCGTACTTCACCAAACCGCGCATGTTGCAGAATTGCGCAGCTTGGTTGTTTTCGTTCTGCTGCTTCTCCATCTGCTTGATCCGACTGGCAGGTTTGTGGATCTGCCCCGGCCACGTTTACTCGCTGGGTCGCGGGTGCTTCGACGTTGATCATCAGGATCTCGGCGAGCGAAATCCCATGTGACGACTGTTTCTGCTTGGCGCTTTGGCAAAGTCCATCTTGAACGCCTCTGGCGCGAGTTGCCGTTGCATCTACACGCCTAAAGATTCAGGCTCATGCAGCCGGGGCCGAAGCCCACTAGTCAGCAACCACAACACTTTAAACGATGCGATTGCGGAATGTGCGACGTATGCATGCATGTATGTGTATGTATGTATGTACGTATACATACACACATGTATACATATACATATGCAGCTACATATACATGTACATACTACATACATCTTACACTTACATGTGGATTTACATCTACAACTACATCTACAGTTCATTTACACATACATGCTCACACACACACATACCTACATGCATGCACACACACACACACACCCTCTCTCTGTCTTCCAATGTATATATATATATATATATATATATATATATATGCACATGTATATAGATGCACGTAGACTCGTGTTTGTTTGTGTGTTCTCACGTGTTGAACGTCTTATCTCTTTGTCGGTTGATGTGTAATTTTTACTGTAGCTCTGTCCCCACGACTATGCCGTAACTTCGCCAAAACATTGAACCCCAATTCCGACACATACGCCCTAAACTAAATACCAAGCTTAAACCGTTGCTTGAGAAGGCTGCGATCCCAGAACTTTCGTTCAACTCGGTTTTCTGCCCACGCAAGCACTGTGTACCGGGTTCAACTCTCAAGCTGTAAATGCCTTAACCCTCAACCTGAAACCCCAAGCCCAAAACCCTTCTGGGAGTCTAGGCATTACATTCGGCGGCAGATCTGCGAACTCCAGGCCTTGCGATTGAGGGCTTTAGGGTTTGCTTGGTTCTTCTCCCTAAATTTCCTGAGGCTAGTCGGAAGCTGGAAGACCGTATAGCCCAGGGCAAGGGACGGGACCACGCCAGGTCGGGACTTCGAATGGGTTCTGGTGGAAGCAGCTTAGGCTTGGCTGATTCATCCAGGTGCTGGGCTCATCTGGTCACCCCAATCCGAAGAGCCCTAAACTCTAAACATTACGCAAACCCGGTAACCCCAAACCATAGAAACGTTAAGCCCCAAACCTTAAGCTCTAAGCCCGAAAAGCCGTAATTAAGCCCGAAATCCTTGTGAAGAGCCAGGGAGAACATGGTGGCAAGCCGCTCATGCACCATGTCGAGATCAGGCCCATCAATTTTGTTTTGGTGGGTGGGAAATGGGTTTATACACTAAGCGTCTAAACCGTAAGCCTTATAAACCCTAAACCCTGGACCGTTTTGAGGGAGCAAGAAGGGGGAGGGAGAGGGCGTTCGGTGTGTCAACTTGAGGATTCAGGGTTTGCAATGGCGTTTAGTGTTTGTGGGTGCAGGGTTTTCGGGGTTTTGGGCTTAGGGTGCAAAAGTTTAGAGTTTGGGGGTTTAAGGGTTTAGGGTTTAGAGTTTAGGGGTATCGCTGAGCCCTTCGGGCTGGGGTTGGAAATGGCCCTCCCCACCGGAGTCTCCATTGTAGCACTGTGCCACAGCAGAGCTATCTTGGGGCAGTTTAATGAAGAGTAGATCCTTGAAGGGCTCTACAAGGGTTACTATACCGTTACCTTCGGTGCAGCGGCATATGTACTTCCGTATATGCAAGAGGTACGAGCGGATTGCAGGTAAACTGTCCCAGAGGGTCCATATACACCACCATTATGGAATAAGGTCCCGAAAACCTTAACAGGGATGGTCTTTCGGTACCTAATTCCGTAATAGTAGTGTAGATGGATCCTCTGGGTGTATTTGTGCAAAGCAAGGCATAGTTAGTTGTGAAATAAACGGCATGGTCATGAACAGGAGCACTGGGCTGAACGTTGCATACGAAGGGTTGCACCGGGGGTCTGTGGATCGTTTGAGCAGCAGCCATCGTTTGAGAAGCCAGGACACGCATGGTTTTCGAAGCAGACTTGTGCAGGCAACCAAGATGTGCTACACTAAGCAAATCAGCTACAGCAAGTGTCAATACGTGGCTCAAAGCTGGACTGTAGTAGATGCTAAAAGTCTCTTTCAACGCTTGCACTTCGACAGTCTCGTGTGTTTTCATAACACGTCCCAAAGGTCTTGAGATTGTAGGGGGAGGATGCTTGGAGGTCCATGGATAGTTAGAAGTGGTATTATACGTAGGATAACTATAGCTATAGCCCACATTAGGGACCTATGACCATGCTTTTAACAACCCGTGAACCTCCAAGTAGTAAATAAAGCAAAGCTGTCCTTTGATCCTGAAGATGGGATCCGGCAGGAAGCGCATGGGACTGCCCGAGAGATTCCTTTGGCATATGGGTAGCTCTCGAAATTTGGGGCCCGTTTTTGAGGTCCACAAAAATATTACGGCACCCTTTTGAAAATGACCTAAACGCAAAAGTGGTATGAACTGCCCGCCTCTCCCCACCCTTATGCTCCAGATCCCGGATCCCGAAACCTACAACAGCTTAACCTTGCCATCCCCCACTTCGGGCTTGTATGAACTCAGCAACTAAGTAAACGAATCAAACCCCAAAGCCCTAAGCCCTAAAGCCTAAACCCAAAGCCTGAATGCCCGGTTCACCAGGGAAGCCACAGACATCTCGTCCCTGGTGCCGATGCCTCAACATACCATCTCGACAGTCTAAGGGTTCTTGTAAGATTTCTTAGAAGGTTTACTTTAACTAACCGTTGATATTGGAGGAGCTAAGGAGCCAGGGATGATGATAATCCCTATGAAATAAGGAGCTACAGAGCCAAGGGAACCCCAAACACCACTGCTTAGTTAAAGTGTTACCCAAGACCGTCCATATATGCTGCCATAGTGCGGCTGGGTCCCCCAAAACCATGATTATAATGGTCTTCTGCGGCTTAATTCCAACATGGTGCTGTCTTTGGACCCTCGGGGTGCTATGACGACTATGGTTCTTAGCTTGAGAGACCATCTTGTACAGGAAGGGTGTAGGGCTAAGGTTTTAAGGTTTAGGGTGTTGGGTCTGGGGTTTAGGGTTTCGGGCGTATCTTGACGGGTGTGAGCATAGGGTCCAAAGACGTCAGCATCGTATTCTATGTAATGCTGGTTTAGGGTTTTAGGATACTCCCTTGCATGCTACCCTAAACCGTAAACCCTATGCTACCCTGAGTTCCTGCGGCCCTCAAGCCAAGTACCCACGGCTTCGTAAACTTCAGACACTGTAGAGCAATGAGCACCGTCTTTTAATTGAGCTGGACCATTTACCCTAAACCCTAAACCCGTTCGTGGTTTAGAAGTTTAGGGTTCAGGGTTTAGGGTTTAGGGCTGGGTTTACGGCTTAGGGTTTTGGGGTGTGGGGCCTTGGTGTCGTTGACGCTTCTTAGGGAATGGCGGAGGCCTGAGGGACTAGTGGGATGATGGCAGGTGGGGTACTTGGAGGGTCGGGGGACTTGGCAACTGGTTATTTTTTAAGGACTTATAAGTACCATAACCCCAATTAGGGTCCCTTTTGGGGTACTTACGTCTTCTTACTACCTACTTACTAAGTCCCCCGACCCTCCAAGTATGGTATTCCCAAATAAGAGTCCTTACCCAGAGGGTCCATATACACTACCATTATGGAATTAGGAAAGCATAACAGGAATGGTCTTTCGGTACCTGGGATCCTTAATCCTACCTGAAGAGTAGGAGACGCACCAGCAGAACTCACGATCGAGGGAGCTCCGCAGGACTTGTTTGGACATCAGTCCGGTACATTATGGACACAGATGGACATTAGTCCGGTACCTTCTGAATCTAACAACAAGCACAACAGTGCAGCGAGAGTCAAGTCACGCACCACAAGTGAGGAGGTCAATGTGCCTCAGCTCTTTGCCTGCCCGCCTTGTTCTTCTTGGTGGTTGGTGTTTTCGGAGTGCGAGATATGGTGCTGAATCCAGCAGAGTTTCGAAAGGGCATTGAAGCTGATTAGGGGCAGTGAAACCCCAGGCACCACAGCAATGCCTCTGCATTCAGACTGTCGTCGTGCCGCGCGCTATGCGCGGGCAGCAAGAATTGACGTGCCAACTTGCCACCATGCGTGGCGATGTCCATACGATAACATGGATGCTTTGCAGGTGCACCCTAAACCCTGAACCCTAAACCCTAAAACCCTAAGCCCTAATCCCTAAACCCTAAAACCCGAAAGCCCTAAACCCTAAAACCTTAAACCCCTAAAAACCCTAAAACCCCAAACCCTCATCCCACCTTTTCAGGCCTCCGAGCTGAAGGACTGGTGGGTTGATGGGAGTTCTCAGCCCTCGAGCAGTGCTTGTTAATTCTTGCTCTTAACTAGTGCTGATGGACAAAATCCTGCATGACCCTAAGGACTCTAAACTATGGGAGCTATGGTATATTACTCATAATGGGTAATGCAGGGTTTTGTCCATCAGCAGTATCGTGTTACCTCATAGAGGGTTTAGGGTTCTAGGGTTTAGGGCAACTTTGGGTAGTTGTATACACACTGAAACAAAGGAACAAGGAGAAGCCTAGTATGAAACCTAGAAGTTGGCGGTTTAGGGACGTTGACGTTACTTTGAGGTTCAAGGGTAGTTATAAGTGTGGTTACAAGTACCTTAATGACAAACCTAGATTAACAGTTGCACGACTACTAAGCCTAGCTACTAAGTACCAGAAGTCTATTATAATTATAGCCCATATTAGGCGACGTATAACACCATTTTATAACTACCCAGACCCCGGGAGGATCTAGAAAGTGGATCCCCTAACTTGGGGCCCTATACTACTAAGGGTACTTTATAGGAATCCCCATGAAGGGATCTTCTTTTTGGATCCTCCCGGGGGTCTGGGCAACCAGCCTGGTCCCTAAACCCTAAACCTGTTTCAAAACCTTAAATCCTAAATCCTAAACCCTAAATCCTAAATCCTAAACCCTAAAACCATAGGGTCTCAGGGTACCCATGACCCTCCAAGAAGACTTGCTGCACCGAGGGCGAACCTCCTGAGCGATCCCACGGATCCGAAGATACCGACGGCGGTGCACATAGACTTGGCG